GTTTCAAAGGTAACAATCATTTTCGCGTTAACTGTTTCATGCGCGATAACGAGCCAGAGACTCGTGGTGAAGATTTTTTTTCGCATAATCTACCGAATATAAATGCGATTCGTTTCCTCGATTTCCAAAGAGAATTTGATTCGTCTGTTAACCTTAAAAGATTTGAAAGATTTTTTAGTATCATCGACCGTTTCGGAGATATTTGACTGGATCGATTTAAATGGGTTTAAATGGACACCCTGTACGAGTGTCTTCTCTCTCTCTTTCTCTTTCTTTGCGTGTGTGTAGTACTACCCTTAAGTAGATGCGATATTGACTGAATAAATGAAAAAATAAATATATATTCGAGAACTATTACTCCGAAGGACGCCGTAACCAATTTCTTTTGCACAAGCTCGAGGTGCTTTTCGGTCAGGTGGATCGACGACTCTCGGAGGTAGCACGGCGGCGGATTTGGCGGCGCTGACAGAGATCGAGAGACATAAAGGGGGAACGGTAAGCTGTTAAAGGGGTCGACGATAAGGGGACGTCGTTGCTCGTTTCCGCGGTGACGATGAAGGTGGCGACGTGCCTTCTTAAAATTCGCGGTGCGGAGTGAAGCGGCGCGGCTTCTAAGCGGCAGATAATAAAATATAGCCGAGGGTTCGCGTTTGCTGCAGAGGCGACGCGACGCGAGGCGAGGCGACGCGACGATGGTAAGAGGAACGGACGATCGTTGGTTCCCCGGGAATCCTTGGAAAGAAAGGGTATTCTACGGCGCAGAGCCACGAGACCTTTAGCTGCCTTTAGCCGGCTGGCTGGTTAAGAGAGGCGCGGAGAGCTCGAGCATAGCCGAGGACAGATATTAACGTAAGCAGATCCTACGAGCGGCGGAACACGTAGACCACTTCTATCGCATTACCATCCTGATTATCCTATATAGTCATCCGAGGGCTGTCTTTAGGCGTTCACCGCGAGCTTCGCATTACGTGGCCCCGGCCAGAAAGCGTTTCGTTAGCGGCCCCGAGAAAACTGTGCGACGGAGCCGCGTATAATCACGCGATATATTATCTTTATTCCCTGTCCGCCGCCGCATCGGCGCGCTTAAGACCGTATAAATATTTCCAAATGAAATTCCGCAACGAGCTTTACGCGGCCCTCTCTCTCTCTTTCTATCTCCCCTCTTTTTCTCTTTCTCTCTCTCTCTCTTTCGTATCTTCCCAGCATTCCTCCCGTTTGCTTTCAACCGGGTCGTCGTTGTCGCTCGCAGTCGTCGCGAGAACATTCGAGCGCCGGAAATTAGAGTGTCCAGGAAAAAAGTAGAGAGATATAATTTCACCGGTCGGATAACAGTTTTCCACCCTTCGTCGACACTGCGAGGCAAATGTGCGTGGCGCACTCTTTTGCCTTTCCACTACGAGGATAGCTGCAACATTTTCCCCACCGCGAACGTTCAGCCAAAAAAAGGTATTTCGCACGCCGTAGAAAGGCGTACGATGCTGCCGGCGATTACGCAACTTTGAGGAAACTCTACTTACTTGTTTGCAGTGCCAGACGAAAGAATAACATACTCGGCGTACGCTGAACAGCAGAAATAAAGCAGCACTAATTTCTGGACGAGAAGTTGTTAATCTTCGAACAGTCGTAACTCCGTTAAAAGGTATCATTAAATTGCGACGTTTTCTTTTAATCGAAGCTTGAAATCTCTGCTTGTCGACGTATAGTCTTCAATTCCTGCGAATTCTCTTTTGTAGCGTCGTATCTGGTGAATACGGTGCGCGATCGATACCGCTTTTTGGCCGAATGCGATGAGTTCGTTAAATTTAGGCAAAGCGCACTTAGAGCATGGACTCATTTTACAGTGAACTTTAATTAAATATACACTAAAAACACAGTAAGTACTCACGAAACACGTACACACGGGGTCTGTGGGGCACATTTATCGTTTAACTATCCTATTCTAGAGGCCAAGTTTTTAGGCGCTATTTGGGATACTTTTTAAAGAATCATAAAGACGCTATTGCATCGGGATTTGTGGCATGATTTTGGTCTGTATTGAAGAAGTGTACGTTATTTTTTTGATGAAAAAATGTTTAAAATCGTCGAAGATACAGCTAGTTTAGTAGCGACTATCACCGGTACCAAAATTGTATAAAACCATTGAAGAGAAAATATTTGGCAGCACTTTAAAATTAGGTTATCGAATTTTTGTGCTCGTTTCAAGCTTATTCCATTTATTTATTCAAGTTAATATTTACAGTATCAGGAATTGTAAAAGAAAACATTCAGAAACCAGCCATTTCGACCTGTAAAAGTAATACCGAGAACAAAATCACGCTACTGTGACTCTTAATTTTTAATTAACACTCTTAATTTTTAATTAAGAGTCACACAGTCAATTGCATCACCGACTGATGCAACTATTGACAGCTAGGTGACACCACTTAACATTTCGCTAAAAAGACAATCGAACATCAATGATCAAAAACAAATGGCTGGACTGTCAAACGCCTCACGCGATCGTTCCATGATTGAAAGAAGATGAAACCAAAGCCGAAAGTTCCGATTTGAAATCGGCAGAACAAAAGTCTCGGAGGAACACGGAAAGATTCGAGGACGGTGAAATTCGGTGGGATTTCGGCGATCGTTGTAAACTGTTGCAGGGAAGCATAACTTTGCGGGCGTCCCGCGGCGACTTCGCGTCACCGGTTGCACGCTGGATCGCGGGCTCTCGCGCGCGCAGATGCACCGAGGCGTAATTCACGGGACGGGCGGACGGACGGACGGGGCAGTCTGATTTAAATTTAAAGGAAGTGAAATTGGAATACCTTAGTGTCAGGACGCGTCGCCGTATTTCATCCTAGCCCGCGTCCAGCCCTCGAGCCGCGCGGAGGTCGAGCAGGGCCGGGAAGCGTGAAGGGTGAAGGGTGGGATCCGTGGAGCATGGTGCGAAGGGTGTCAGGGCGCGAGGCAGGGAGGGAGAGGGGGGCGGGCACTGGTTAATTAACGAGCACCGGCCGAACGCGCGGCTATAATAAGCAGCTTAGCTGTTAATTAAATGCCGCGCTGCCTTTTGTTCCTCGGCCGGGACACGACAAATTTCGTTAAGGTGATGCGCTAATAATTAGAAAGCGATAGGCGACCGGATTATCGGGCTCCAGTCGGCCGAGTATAATGGTCCGGCTCGCACCCGCCTGCTTGCTCGCTGCCGAGGGGAATATTTTCGGCCGGCGACGATGTCGGCAAGTTATATCCAGTCGGCCCTGCCTCTCTCCGGCCTCGCCCCGCCTCGCCCCACTTTTCCCTGCCTCGCCCGCCGCAGCGTCAGTATCCCGCTAATTGAACCCCGTGTCGTAAAGTTGTCGCGGATAATCGAATCGCCGCGACACCAAATTCGAGCCAGCCGAAGAACATTCGCGGCGGAAGGGCGCATTGTGCCGCCGCCGCCGCCGCGGTTTCCCGGCATGCCCCCCGAAACTTCAAAAGCCGAGCGCTCGCGAGCTCCGCGCCGCTCCGCGATGACGGCTACCTTTTTTTTCTTTCTTTCGAACGTTTAAATTTACAGCCTGCAACTATGCGGTACGCGAGTATATTCTGTTAAATTTTTATCAAACTTTTTTACACCGACGGCAAAACCAGCGAGAAGTTTTTTGCCGACGGTTCTCTACGATTATTTCCTAGCTCTGCGCGAGCAATTAACGTCAAAAGCACACGCGATCTCTCCTTTTGAATTTCAGCAGACCGGCTGACAAAGAATCGCACAACACCGACCAGCGCCGGTTTTACGCGCCAAGATAATCGGTTTCGGCTGGAACGGACGTTGCTTGCCCAGAAAATCGTACTCGCTCGTCGTGTATCGTTACGATGTTGAGTCTTTTCTACAAAAATTCGTTCCGCGGGTCGGTGAACGATGTTCTTCAGCGCTCGGAGAACGAGGTTCGGATCCATTTGGACTCAGAGCGTAGATGATGTTATTTTATCGTCTGGTTTCTGACAATTAATTGATATTTTTCGTCGAATTTTGTTTCGTTAAAGTCCGCAGAAAAATTTACGCGTTTTAAATGAGCACCTTAACAAATTTATTGAAGAAAAATTGTTAAATAAAATTGTAAATGCAAGTCCTAAGCATACTTGTGTAGTGGGATCGGTTACTGTGGGGCGACCAATTGTTGGCGTGCGATGTTGCAATGTTGCATTTGATTGGAAATAGACCTTTCGTCACATCGCTGCTAATTGCTGCGGCTTTGGCTTGTTTTCGAGCATAATTGACTTCACTTGTATAAATTTTTGTATTCTTTTATTTGGCTATTTTTGAAAAAAAATGTCTTATTCGTTACATTCCCTGCCACATGTACTACCAATGTAAATTGGTAAATCTTTTAACTCGTTAATCTTTTCACTCATGCCGCTTCTGCCACCCTTACATGTTTTTATTTAACGCGTTTATTATAAAATACGTTTTACAGTAGTTTTACAAGTTTTGCAATAAGACTGAAGATCAAATTAAATACATTCGAAGCGATCGAAGAATTTAAAGATAATGTTGTAAAATTATTAAGAAAGAAAATAAATGGCAGCTGAATAATCAGTACTGACAATTTTTATTTTGCATAAAAATCCGTGGTTTGGTAAAATTACATATAACATCTCAATCTTTATCGAGAATATCAAATGTCCAGGTTCCTCACGCCTGGCACGCGTTAACCCTTTGCACCCGAGTGGCGACTTCGAGGCGCCACTAAAATTGTTATATCACGTTCCAACATAATTTTTATACATTCGTAGTTTAGACTTAAATTTCATTAATCTGACTGTTGTATTAATAAGACTTAATTGTGACTTAATTGTCGAAAGTGTAACTGTTGCACGAGTCGCAAGACTCGATTTCGTACGCGTGCAATGCACTTTGTCATACGAAATAGAAATACAGCAAGTCGGAGAAATTGATCTAGATTCACGGTTGAAACGGCTTCGAGTGCAAGGGGTTAATTGTTTCGCAAAGAAAGGTATTGCTCACTCACCGTGGTGTGCTTCAGCTGTCTTCTCCTTCCCTTGTACCACGTGATGACCGCGGGAGGCCTCGATCCGGTGGTCTCGCACTCGACGTCGTACCGTTTGCCAGCCAACAGGGACTCGTTGCCGACTCCCTTTTTCCCGGGCCTCCTTATGACGGCCGTCAACGGTTTCACTGGGAACAGGTCGAACCGCCGGTTAATTCATTGTCATCGATGATGACGGGCTCGCGCATACACTCGCGCTCGCGCACGCACACGCGGACGCGTCGCGTCTACCGGCACACGGACGATCTGTTCGGCGGATATAATACGGTCCCTTGTCCCTCTCCCCCCCTCCCCCGCCCAACGTTTTCCTCGAATCAACGAGTCCGGCAATCACGCGGTCCAACGACGCTAATCGGCCGCGATAATTAAAGCGAACCGATAATTAAGGCGGACAAACTCGTCGGTCGGGGCGGGGTCAGGTACGACGCGAGTTCGATGCAAATCGTGTGCGGCCGATTCGACGCTGAAAAACCGGCGAGTAATCGATCAATTGCCAGTCATTTGTCATTTTCTGGTTTGTTGCGTGATTCGCGTGTGCTCCACCCCCGCGGAAAAACCGCTGCTGCTATTTTTCGGTCTCCTTTTCCCACCCCAACCCTTCGGGCCCGGTATCAGGAACGGAGAAGGAGAAAGCAGCTCGCGAATTATTCAACGATTTCTTTGCGGCCGCCGAGCCCGCGACAACGATCATCATTCGCCGGTAAACATTGATTTTTCCGGGCGCGTGTAAACGCCCGGAACGACGCCGTTTCCCCCTAGTTTCCACTGGCCAGGCGACGATCGCTTTGACGGACGATAAATCCGCGCCCCGAATTGGCCAATACCGAGCCAGATACGATCCGCTCGCGCGTGAAATATGAAAACCACGAGGACGCCGTTGCCCGCCGGCAAGAAGACAGAAAAATCAGTTTTTCGCGTGTCCTTTAAATGTTCGGAAAACGCGTGCGATTCGGGTACGCGAAGTACCCGCACTGTACAGCGTAACTGTAGCACCGTTCGTAGTTCTTTTTTAGATCGTTCAGCTTCTCCGCGATTTTCCGAAATTTGCATTCCGCGCGAATTGTTGCTGATCGTGGAAACGCGTGGTCGAACGATCTCCAGAAATCTAGAGGGCGGGGCATTTAAAACTGGTCTCATCCGAACAACTCGTTTGTCTTTAACTGGGCATTAACACTGTTTTCTCGAGATTTCTGTGAAATTTTCAGCATGCGTATTACTTACCGAGATATCTACGAAATGCATATTTTTGGAATTTTCGTTATAGGCTCAGATGAAAAGGTTACGAAACGAGAACTTTTTATTTTCTTTCGTCATTGCAAACAACAGCAACCTCTATCATCTAAAAAAAATTCGAATTGTTGAGTCTAGTTTGAAAAATGTTATTAAAATATAATATTGAAGGCAGCAACTGTATATGTAGACACTTTTTTAACACAGGTCTTCATGCGAGTCTTTATTTTAAATGACCGGTCTCTCTCTGTAGCATATAACTTATATCTTTTAATATAGAATGGAAATAAGAGCCTATTTGACAGTATAAAAATATAAATAAATAAAATATAAATTGGGTGAAATGACAACAAATATTTAAAATATCACGTTATTCAACCTTTTTATCTCTGCATGTAAAATTTTATGTTGCATATCAAATTCGAACAATGTATTTTTCAGGCCTCGATTAGTCTACATGCTGAAAATTACAATTTACATAATTTACGCGAGTTTATAATTATCGCGTGCGTCTGTTATCTTGTTTTACGTGTTTTATAGAAATATTTCTTACATTTTTATTTCTGTGCGAGATTGTCTACACGGAAATTGAAGCTCGTAAACAAATAACTAAATAAATGAATGAATGAATAGATAAATAAATAAATAAATATTGTTTTAACAAAATTAAACTCCTACAGCAACAACATCAATATTTTCTGTGCCACCTAAATCTTCAACGTAATTTACACTATGTATTATCGAATTAAATCATTTTTTGCTGCCATACATACGAGAATCTTGTTTTGGTCAGCTTTTTGGGAAAAGGTACCGCCGTGCGCCGTTAGTACGCGTCGAATCGGCTCGTCGATAAAGAATTTCGATATTTTTCTCGTTCGTTCTTTCAGCGCGGACGATTCCTTCCGGTCGGCCCGTTTTCGTTCGTTTATTCGTATCGTTCGGCCTCGTTAGGTTAGGGCCGGCTGAAAATCGCTTTTCGATTTTATGTTAACGAGCCCAGCGCGGCGCGGCGCGGCGGCACACTTGGAGCGAAACGCGGCTTCGATCTCCCGATCGCAGATTCCGATCGCATCGCGCGTCACAAGTTTTTAAACGAACGAATGCCGCGTCGGTACCGGGATCGCGCGCGCCCCCTCCCCCCCTCCCCCAAATATTTGATTTTCCCGGATTTTCGGAATCGCCGGCCTTTTCGATTATCCGCAATCTCTCGTCGGTCCCTCCGGCGCGCTGGCAGCGGTTCGCCTCGTCACCGCTCAGAGGGTTTTTTAATTTCTCTTCTGTTTTTTGTTCCGCCGGCCATGAGATGAATACACGTTGGATGCATGGTCACTTGGCGCAGGTCGCGAAAATCAAAGAGCGAGCATCGATCAATCCTCTCTGCCCCTCGCCTCTTTTCGGCCGACCGTCGCTTTTTCAGCTCCTCTCTTTCCGGTTCCCTCTCCCCGGCTCTCTCTCTCTCTTTATCTCCCTTTTTCTCTCTCTATATGCACAGGGTGTGTCAGAGCTTCGTCGGGATACAAGCGTCCCGCTCGTAATGGAAATTTACTAAATTCCCATAGCTTTTCGGCCGGAGAAACTTCGCTGATCTTACGGAGCTTCGCGAAGCAGAAACCTCCGCCCGGAGAATCACGAAACTATGAAACTTCGGGGACACCTGCAGCGTGTACATTTTGTTTGCTCCCGAAGAAGCTAAAATCGACCCTTCAAACTTTTACTGCCCTTTTACTTTATTTCCTAATTTGCAAACTGCGATAGAGAACGGGCTTTAAATATCGAGCCTTTTAATTCGGTGGCTGTCCGCAAAGAAACGCCGCAAGTCGCGGTTACGAAAATACTTGCAGTTAATGCAGCAACGCGTTGACTGTTACGGAAACGGACACGTAAAAATCGGACGAAATCAGAACAATTTATTTCATATTTTAACAATGATGAAGACAAGAATCATCGTAGATATTGCATCTGTAACACTTCTCAATCTTGTAGACACGAAACGATTTTGACTCATTTAACAGACTATGCTAAAAATTCTGCGTTCAAATTTCATAAAAAGAATTTGTCCGACCCATAAATGAAGTATGTAGGATTTATGTAATTATCAGAGAATTGAACGTGAAAACAATTTGTACAGACGCGAAAAGTTATGCAATCTGAGATAGTGTTTTATTTAACTCTGCATCACCTCATTCTAAACTTTTGTATTTTAATTTCCTTTTTGTGATTTTATAGCTAACGGGTAACTGTACGCATTCAATAAATAAATAAATTAGCGATCGGTGAACCGCGGATGTGAACGTAATGCTGTGGTATTTTTAACACTAAACTTACCAAGGCCTAAAAGCGGCTAACAAATCTTGCCTTATAAGAATTACAAGATGGAATTTATTTGAATTTTTCGCAATTTTTATAACAGTGTGTGTGTCTGAATAAAGAAATATATTCGACAATTTCCAATCGAAACGGCTTCAAGTCGACTTCAACTCGACTAATCAAACAGACTTCAATAATCCTCATCGTTCTGTGTTTCGTTCATCCACTTTTGCTGTAAATGCGTGAAATCCGTGGTCCGCTGATCAGAACTTTGCGCGACAATATCTCGAAAGCGAAAAAAACGTGACTCGCGGCGTTCTTCCTCGCAGTCACAGAATTATTTGACCGGCTCAAATTTCGTTCTCGTCAGCCGTTTACGTCGGAAAAGCTGGTCACGAACTGATCGGACACCCCGTGCATATATTTCGGTCTCCGTTCCCCTTTCGCCCGGCCGTCCCGTCGCATCCTCTTTCGCCCTCCGTTTCGCTATCTCTGCGCGCGACGCGCGGAGATTTTTTTTTTTGCCCGTTCGTTCACCGCTATGATGGGTGTTCTCGTTCGCCAATAACGGATCTTCAATTTCGTTGTTCGCTTCGTCGAAATTTTCGTGACTCTCGGAAGCACCGATAATTCAGCGGCGATCAATCACGGCCGGTCGAGAGAGGTCGAACGGCTCTCGACCGATCGGGATCGACCGTTCGCCGCGCGCGTATTTTCTTTTTGCCGAACGGCAATTTCGTCGGATCCCGTGGGCGGGGATAAAGAGAAAGCGGAAAATCAACGGGACAGCGGTAAATATTTCGAGAACCGAGAGAGGACACGAGTTCCCGGCGATCCGGCTCCAAAATGAGACCCCCGAACACGGATCCTCCAAATGATCGATACGAATCCACGTATATACCCGTCGAAACGAGTCCGATCATCTAGCGGTTAGTATTAAATCATTCGTCGGAAACGTTTCGATGCTTGCTGGAAGCAAACTGAAAGCTTCTTAGAACAGCAGGGAAATCATGGGGAGTAGAGGTTCAATGAAAATGGATGTTAACCTTTTCTGTTACTTTGACGACTTTAACTTGTAATGCAAATTTCTAGTAAGAATCTCTTAAGTATGAGTGTTATTCCGTTCTTTTAAGTTGAAATATTGGATTGGCAAGAAAGTAATTTCGGTTTGCACCAATAGAAAGCGTTATGTTTGTATTGTCATTCTTTCGTTAAGGTTATATTATTTTTGTCTTTAGCTTTGGTAGTTGACGCGTTTAGGTTACTATAGAAACAAATTCCGTGCAGTTTCGTTTACAACTGATAGTTCGCCGTCAATTTTAACATGGAGTGCAAAAATGAACATTTTCGACACATTTTACTTTTTTATTTTCACAAAGACGTGAAAACGGCCGAAGCTCGCAAAGAGATATGCGAAGTTTATGGCGTTATTTCAATAATAACGATAGCTTCGAATCGTACTTGATCGAGTTTTTTTACTGATAAGTACCAGAAGTTACGCGAGCACGAAGTGAATGAAGTTGTTATATGATCATGAAGTTGCCGAAAAGATGGCAAAAAGTCATCGAGAAAATCAGGAAGAACATTATCGATTCCTCCCAGAATGATATTGATTCATCTAGATCCATCCNATATACCCGTCGAAACGAGTCCGATCATCTAGCGGTTAGTATTAAATCATTCGTCGGAAACGTTTCGATGCTTGCTGGAAGCAAACTGAAAGCTTCTTAGAACAGCAGGGAAATCATGGGGAGTAGAGGTTCAATGAAAATGGATGTTAACCTTTTCTGTTACTTTGACGACTTTAACTTGTAATGCAAATTTCTAGTAAGAATCTCTTAAGTATGAGTGTTATTCCGTTCTTTTAAGTTGAAATATTGGATTGGCAAGAAAGTAATTTCGGTTTGCACCAATAGAAAGCGTTATGTTTGTATTGTCATTCTTTCGTTAAGGTTATATTATTTTTGTCTTTAGCTTTGGTAGTTGACGCGTTTAGGTTACTATAGAAACAAATTCCGTGCAGTTTCGTTTACAACTGATAGTTCGCCGTCAATTTTAACATGGAGTGCAAAAATGAACATTTTCGACACATTTTACTTTTTTATTTTCACAAAGACGTGAAAACGGCCGAAGCTCGCAAAGAGATATGCGAAGTTTATGGCGTTATTTCAATAATAACGATAGCTTCGAATCGTACTTGATCGAGTTTTTTTACTGATAAGTACCAGAAGTTACGCGAGCACGAAGTGAATGAAGTTGTTATATGATCATGAAGTTGCCGAAAAGATGGCAAAAAGTCATCGAGAAAATCAGGAAGAACATTATCGATTCCTCCCAGAATGATATTGATTCATCTAGATCCATCCGGATTAGCCGATGCGATGTCGCAACGGTGTTGCACGGACGTTTGCGCGCGTTAAGCGAATCGTTTCTCATCCGCGTGTCGCTGTCCCCGTCTTCTGATCATGGCGGGCGAAGCCACCGGCGTGCGACAGATAATTAATCTATGAATTTTTCAGTTTACTCTCGAAATTAGTGTTTCGTCGTGCCGGGTTATGGGGCGGTCGCGATCTAACGAAGAATTCTAATTTTCAGAAAGCTCGAGGTTGCTCCGGGTTCGGCTTCTAGCAGCTCTGGATGGAGAGAGAGAGAAGGAGACAGAGATAGAGAAAGAGACAGAAAGAGAGGCAGGGAGATAGAGAGAATGGGAGAGAGAGAGAAGGAGAGACAGAGAGAGGAGGGTGGGAGATAAAGAGAGAAAGAGAGAGAGAGAGAACGGGACATAGAGAGAGAAAGAGGGAAAGAGAGAGAGAGAGAGAGAGAGAGAGAGAGAGAGAGAGGGTGGGATGGATGAGCCGGGTGGGGCTGCAGGCAGGATTTAATATATTTCTCGTCTTATCTAGCCTTATCTTCCCTTAAAGGCGATTCACAGCGGCGAGGGAGCAAAGGATGTTGGCCCACTTTCGCTGTCTCGTAGATTTTATCGCTAATGCGGGACAAGATAGGGCCCGGGTGAGGCTTCTGATTTGTTGGCCGCCGCGATAAGAATTTGTATCTACTTCTCGTCTTTATTTCGTTCCTCTTTTATCGGCGCCTATGCCCGACGTCGCTCACGGCCCTTCGGGGATTGGACCGTTTCCGTTTACCCTTCGACCTGTCGCCCGCGCCCTTATTCCGCCCCACGCCCCTCGCCAGGGGCCCCTCCGACCTAACCGTTCCCACCGCGCGGCGGCTAATGGCTCAAACGGGAATCGCTGGGGGTTAATTGTTACTCACGGTTCAGCTCGAGCGTGATCGAGGACACCTTCGGCTCGATCAAGCCTGTGTTCCGCGCCTGGCAGGTGAAGTTCGACCCCAGGTCCGAACGCCTGATCGCTTGCAGGGTCAACCTGTCGGAAAAGACGTCCAATTTTCGCTCCGTTGCGCCATTTCGCCGAACAAGGGGATCTATCCGTGCTCGTAATTAAATGCAAAATGTCGATTCCGCCGGCAACTACAGAGAGAACTTTCAGCAGTTTGTGGCAAGTGTTACAAGAATTTTGAACAGTTCGAAGATCTCGATGCGTTCGGTCGTCGATCGTACGGTTAATGGACTCGAGGTCATTTCATGGCCGCAGTCACATTAATCGCATTAATTAATTCAGATAAATGTAAGAAGAAGCTTATTTTTCTATAGGTTGATTTTCTCTCAGAAATACAAATCGTACTAAATAGAATTTCAAATAGAAGATACACGTGAAATATACTATTTCAAATAATCATCTCCAGTACATCGTAAGAAAATACAATTTCAATTAATAATTTGCTTTGCAACAAAGTAAATAACTACTCCCAATGTATCGGCAAAATAAATCTTGAAATATTATTTCGCACACGGCTCGTTTTTTAAATTTAACTCGATCAATCGTATCTTCTCTCCCCAAATTGTCCATTTTTGTTTACAAGCTGAGGGACGATTTGAGAGAATTTGCCGTATTTCGAATACATTTTGACATATTTTTTACTCAGATCTGACGGGGACCGATCGAAACGCACCTGTTCTCTATGACGTCGCCAGCGTTCTTCTCGTACTCCTCGTCCTTGACTTCGCCGTTAACGAGCCACCGCACTACGGGCTCCGGTTTACCTGGAAAAGTAAATTAACAAACTGTAATGAACACGACGACGGCGTAATAATAATTTAAGTAGAAATGATCTCTATCGGGAAACTATTGGCGCGAGTTACAACGTCGCATCTTGGGGAACGTCTATAAGGCGCTCGTGAAAATTGGCTCTCCGTCTTTGGGTGACTCGGGAACCACCGTCCCGGCATCGCGTTTATTTTAATTGCTCCTTCAGGATGTCGCCCGGTCGACCTTTAGTGGGGATAAGACCCGGGAGGACCCTTTAGAAATTTAGTATGGAGAGCCTCTTAAATGTGGAAGGCGGTGGAATACTTATACTTAAAGTAAACCGAAGTAAACCGGACTTATTTTTGGGAATTATAAAACCATTAATAATACGAAGATGGTGGTTTTCACGGCAAATTTTACTTCGGGAGGGACAATGGAAATACCGGGCAACGTAATTCCCAGGATCCTGAAATCTTGGCATTCCGTGTTATCCGATTTTCGAGGTTATGTCGCCGGAGAAAAATTCTCTCGACTCAAACGTTTCATAAATATGTTGCAATTCCGTCGCAACGAATCATGAAGCACGTCATGGGTCAAAAGACACCCGAAAACGATAGAGAAAGTAGCAGGCAGTTGACCGAACATTTGAGTGACAAACTGACTAAAATACTTTTTTAAATTTTGTTATTACTTGAAATGACAAAAAAGAAAACTAAAAAAACTCTTGTTTGCTAACTCTTTTATCTGAGTATATGACTAAAATTTAAAAAATACATTTTATGGAACTCTTATACGCATACTGAAAATTTCATCGGAATCCGTAATATATATATAAATCCTAAAGATAATTCATATTTAGTTGCTAATTAGTCGTAAATTGTTTTCCATCTTTCATATTTAATATCTTCATATCCGATATTTAATATCCTGTAATTGCAATTACATTTATAAGTGTTGTTAAAGAATGAATTTTGTTACCTATTTTGTGTTAATTCAGATATTGTAAAATACGATAAAATTGGTCACAAATATGAGATTTCGATGAGAAAATATTTGTTGCTGCTTCCGATGCAGCGAATGATGGATCGAATTCGAGTGATTTTTATAATCACTGTCGCCAATTATAATCACTGTAGTACGGTAATCTTTTGCAATACAGCGATTACATGTTTTCAAAATTCATTTACATAATTTATACAAATTATACAGTTTAGCAAGCGTCACGCCGAAGGAGGAACGTATTCACGGCGAAGCATTTCATCGACCAATCCTCGGAAGAGATTCGACGTTTATGGCAGCGACCGGTTAAAAGTATTTTCGCTGGTCCGTAAAGCCCGAACTTTCGAATCCGGCCGAGTCATCTAAATTGCAGCCGATCCGGTTTCGCTTTTAATATTTCAGCCGCTTTGACCCGCAACTCGGCCCGGCCCGGCCCGGCTCGTCCTGTCTCTCTATAATTGATATTTATCGATCTCCCGGAGAAGCCGTAGAAACTATAACAGCGCTCAGTTATCGGGCTGCGAAGTCGTCCCGAGCAGTTTTTGTCCGGAGCATCGAAAACTTTGGGGTATCGGTTAATTTCAAAGTTCCCGGGGAAACTGACGGGCCACCTTTTAGTAGCTCCGTCGAAGCATGGCTCTGTCCACTCGAGCCATCGCCTCCAACTGTTTTCCCGCTTTCGGTCCTGGAAAAATCGTTTCCCGCGGAACATTGCGCTCCGCTATGGGCCGGATAGCGCCCAGAAGCGGGAACAAATATTTTCTCATCGAAATCTCATATTTGTGTTCAATTTTATCGTATTTTTCAATGTCTTGTTAACACAGCGTAGGTAACCAGATTCATTTTTTTAACAACATTTGTAAATGTAATTGCAATTGTAGTATATGAGATATTGAATTTGGAGATATTAAATATGGGAGATGGAAAACAATTTACAACTAATTAGCCGAGTTCTGTAAAATGAATTTTTTAAATTTTGGTTGTAGGCTGAGATAAAAGAGTTAATAAACAAGAGTTTCTTAGTTTTTTGTCATTCCAAGTAATAACAAAATTCAAAAGAAATATATTAATCAGTTTACAATAAATTAGTCACACTAACATCGCCGAAAAATTCAAGTCGTTCAATCTAATTTAAAAAATGTCATTGCTTTTTAATACATTGACTGTTGAGCCTATTTTTTGAATAAATGCGTTCTGGTCGCCAACATTTCTTTTTCTTTAACCGGTAAACGATAACAAGTAAAAAATAATGATGAATACAAAATAATAATAAGTAAAGAACAATAACAAGAAAACTGAAGAGACCGAGAAACAATTAGACCGCGGATCTCGATATGCGGCTAGCAATTGTACAGGATAATGTAATGTAATAATAACAAAAGTTGTTGTAGTAATAACAAAAAATATGTTGTAATAATAATAATAAAATAATAATAATAAGTTAAAAATGACATAGCGATCTGCTCAAATTGTTCCAACGTCTTAACAATATCCATCTATCTCATAAATGCATAAAATTCCCCGACCAGCGAGCTTCTCAGTTTCGGTTCGATTAAATAATTTTAATGATCGCCAACGTGTCGAGTGCCGGCAAGGATCCGTAAAGAGTTAAGCGTATCGCGATCGAACAAAGATTCGGGGTAAATATCTCGAGGAGATCGAAGGCGCGAGTTTACACGGGTTATCGGGTCGGTTATCGAGAGCGAAACAACATTTCATATGCGGCGGCCTAATAAATAAGGGTTCGGAGGCGGTTAGGGGTGGCGGTAGCCGATCTCTTTAACCGACGCGGGCGAGGAGTGCGACCCTCTTAGCGCGGGGGCGGCTCGCGAGAGAGAGAGCAACGTTTATCGGAAATAAATGGTTCGACGAGGAGAGGCCGCTCCGGGTATATCGTATCGAGTTCCATTCGAAGGAACGTTCCGTGGATAGACTCCGTATTATATCACGGATTTACATATCTCCCTCGAATAATACCTCGGCTCCGTGGCCAGATGCATATTTTTATTGGAAAAAGCTGCCGGTTATGGTGATAAAACGGCTCGAATGATATACGGGCATTATAAGAGTCAGGTATGCGCCGGTAATGGGTCAGAAATCATAAAGCGAGAAAAAGCGCGGCACCGAGGGGTTGAAACGGCGCGGCGGCGAGAGGGTCGACGGGGCGGACAGAAGCGGAGCGGAGCCGAGCGGAGCCGAGCGTAGCGCCGCGTCTATCGAGCGCGGAACGGTGAAATTCCCGGCGAGGGAAAAGGCACCGGGAACAGCAGCCAGGCCGGGGAACGGTTTACGTCCCTCCTTTCATTGTTATTCACGATGGTGTACGGTGCTGGGAATCGCAATTTAATCAGGACGACGCAACATCGCCGCGACACTTAAAATTGCAAGCCTTGATCTCCGACGGAAGCGCGCCTAGATTAGCTCCGGCCGTCATTGTTATTCACGATGCTCTCGCGATCTAGATTGCGTTTTAACCGTCTCGTTGTTTCCGATTCTCGTCCCCCTCGCCCCCGCCGCCACCACCACCACCACCACCCCAGCCCTCTGTCGCTCGTTTCCTTTTTCCTGCCACTTCGCTTTACTCACCGTCCACCTCCGCTCTTCTCGCCACTTTATCATCGATCAGAAGGTTTCAGCTCGCGCAATTAGCCGGCGCCGCGGTGCCCGGAGAGAAAAGGGAAACGGCATTTCTCATTCGAAGGTATGCACGTACCGCGGTGCGTGCATCGGAACAATTTCTTCTATGATAACAATTTCGCGATCGTCAATCAACGGACAAAATGTTTCGCTAAATGCGGCATACAGCATTCAAGTAACAGTGTTCGTACAGTTTTTAAGATGCGATAACTATTTTAAAACTGAGCCAAGCGACTTGAATTTTTTTTAGATAATTGAGGGACTAGATCGGACCACATCGAGTGCGATTAATTAAAATTTCATCCGATGATTGAGTGTCGACGGTGCTGAATTAAGACTTGATAATAAAAGTATATATTCGTACCTCGGCAACTGTATCGTACGTATTATTGCGAAAATGATAGAAGTATTGATCCGTACCGTTTGAAAGATGAAAGAAGAATACTGTATATCGTATCGAAAATGAAAGAAAAATGATATTCGTTCGCTGTGCAAGATGCCCCGAGGTACGTATATGTTAAATTCTAAGGGCGTGATTTCGATGGCGGAGATGTGGAGAAGGAAGTAGGAAGAGTTTCAACGTTTTAATGGCGACCAACATTGGAATCGTAAACAATGTAAATATTTACATTTTACATTGCAAAATAAAAAACGTCTGCGCCAATCGTAAGAAGCAGTAGCCGGATAGAAATGTCTCTCTTTCTCGAACAATTTCAATAAATGTTGAATAATGCGTTGACATCTTCAATGTTTTCTAACCTCTCCACTGTTCCAGATCGATTCTACTAATTTTTGGCGTAAGTCCATAAAATCCGCGATATATATAATATATGATAAATTTCACACATATGCGACATACATAATAAAATTCTCGATTACGAAGGAGAAACATTTATGAAACATCGGAATGTTTCAACACAATTAAAACTGAAAATAAGTTAATAAAGCATAATAAATTGATGTATAATTTAAAAGTTACATTGCTCCACAGAGGAAACCTTCGAACTAATAGCGCAGCATCCGTATCAATGTAGACGAGGTTGCATTCAATTGTTGATATCGACTTCAACTCGTGGATGATCGATGATCGAGGAATTAAGACCCGCGTAAGGTCAGCCGGTTGCTCGGTCGTGTTGCAAGGGATTTTTCATCGGGTGGACGGGATGAGAGAGCGTAGGATGGTAGTTAATTCGTGAGCGGAGCCGTGAGCTCGTTTGCACGAGTGCTTAGGGGGGAGGATGAGGGGGAGGACGCGTGGCTGCAGAAAGGGAGAAGGACTAGGCGATCTCTCCTCGGGTTTAGCTCTCTCTCTCTCTCTCTCTCTCTTNCGATGATCGAGGAATTAAGACCCGCGTAAGGTCAGCCGGTTGCTCGGTCG